GGGTTCGGGGTGCCGGGGGGCGCCCCGCTGAGCCCCTCTCCCCGCAGCTGCACCCCGGCGTGGGGCTGGCGCAGGGCACGGCCGTGGAGCTGCTGCTCACGCTGCAGTTCGTGCTCTGCGTCCTGGCCAGCTACGACGAGCGCCGCGACGGGCGCCTGGGCTCCGTGCCGCTGGCCGTGGGGCTCTCGCTCACCCTGGGGCAGCTCTTTGGGGTAGGTGCTGCCGCCGGGACCCCCCGCGCGGGCTTAGGGGGTCGGGGCCCCACAGGCCCCCCCCATCACCCGCGCGGCCGCCCGCAGGTCTATTACACCGGAGCCAGCATGAACCCCGCGCGCGCCTTCGCGCCCGCCGTCATCACCCGCAACTTCGCCAACCACTGGGTGAGTGGGGCTGGGGGCACCGCGGCGCCCCGCGGCCCGGCTCCGTCTACGGCCCAGTCCAGCCCCGGCCGCATCCCGGGCGATCCTCAGCCACGTCCCAGTCCTGCCCCATTGGAACCCGGTCCAGCCCCACCCGGGTCCTGTGTTTGTCCCCAGCAGGATCCTGGTCCATCCCTCTCCTTGTTCCAGTCCATCCCCTGCAGGATTCCAGTCCATTCCTGTGGGATCCCAGTCCTGTCCTCAGCAGGATCCTAGTCTATGCCCAGTGGGATCTCAGTCCATACCCAGTGGGATCCAAGTCCATCTCCAGAAGGATCGTAGTCCATGCCCAGTGGGATCCCCCATGGGATCCCAGCCCATCTCCCACAGGATCCCAGTCCCTGCCCAGCGGGATCCCAGCCCATCCATTACACAATCCCCATCTCATCCCCATGAGATCCTGGCCCATCTCCTCAGGATCCCAGTCTCATCCCCAAAAGATTCTAGTCCATGCCCAGTGGGATCTCCATCTCATCTCCCAGGGGATGATCGCCCATCCCAGAAGGACCCCAGTCCATCTCCCATAGGATCCCAGCTCATCCCTATGGGATCCCAGTCCTGTCCCCACGGGATCCGAACCCATCCCTGTGGGATCCCACTCCTGTCCCCTGCCGGATCCCAGGCTCCCCATCCGACCCCTGTGGGCTCTGTGTCCCCTGGGCTCCCCGTGTCATCCCTGTGGGCTCCCAGTCCCGTCCCTGCCAGGCTCCACGTTCCCCGGGCTCCCCGTGCCATCCCCGCGGGCTCCCCGTGCCAT